ACACAGCTGTGCCACATCATACACCAAGCCACAGCTCACTTTGAGAACAGATGTGCACTGAGACAGGGCCGCGACAAAGGAGGAAAGAAAGGGCACAACATTCCAGCCAACAACTAGGTCTCCTCCAAGATCACAACTGTCACTTCTGTGGGAAAATTTGCAGGGCAAGAACTGGGCTCCTCAGCCACTTAAAAACGCACCAATGAACCCCCTTGGCAGACATCATCCTCGCATCAAGGGACAGCCGAAGAAGAAGGTTTCCTCCACGCTGGTGCTAAGCTGGTGTGACAGAGGAATATGGAGTAAGGCAACTGAGCTTCAGTTAAATACTGATGGGGTATCCAGTCTCCAGTGCGTCTTATACAGATCTCATATGTATCTAGTTTTCTGACAATGGACCAAAAGTGACCAAAGTGAAAGAGTGCTAGAACTTCTCAATGCATCTGTGGTACAACAGCATTTGCATCTCTTAGTTATAGACTGGGGGCTCAGCGCAGGGATTCCCTGGCAGGCAAACCTGCGCCACAGCAGATCAGCATGTGCCACGTTACCTATCGGCAGTGTGATCTGAGAACTCAAAGATTTCAATGCTCAGATACTTACACCCCTTAGCCTAGAAATGCCTTTCAATAATCTACGCTTGGAATGCACTGAGGCCAGCAGAAGGGCTACTTTAGAAAATAGGGAGCACGTTTCTTGAAAGCAAAAAAAAAAAAAAAAAAAAGGTGGCTGAAAACCATCTGCTAAAAAACTTATTTGATAAAAATCGGTCTTTTCCACCCAATTTTTAACTGCAATTATGTCATCTTTACTTCACCTAGCAAAAGGTGATGTTTTTCCACCAAAAGGCTTTTCTTTTGCTGCTGTTTTTTTAAAACTAGCATAGCCTATATTAGGATCACCCTGTAATGGGTCTCTGTGCCTATTAATCATCTGTGGCTGCTAAATGAAGTGTATCTATTTTCTCTGTTACATTACTATTGGCAACCAGGTCTTCAGTAAGTGCCCAGAAATATTGCCATGGCAACAAAAAGCATTCAAGCATCACTCTTGTTTTGTGCCAATTTAGCTTTAAAATCTTCTGTTGTAAAGGAGAATATGGTACATTAAGTACAATAAAATCAAGATGCAATGTTCTGAAAAGAGTCCAAGGATAAACAGGAAACATGTATTTTACAGGACCAAGAGAAATAATGCCAAACGCAAGATGAAAATTTTTCAGAAGTTTAATATTTATGCTAGTGAATGACTCTCCTTTACTGTATGCCAGCCAGCCCATATGCTCACTTATGTTGTCATTTAGGGTTAGGAAGAAAGCTAACAGAAACAAGGATACCTCTTACATTTCCCTTGATCATTTCAATCCAGATCTGAAATTTGAAGTTGTCAGGGTATCCCATCTTCTCACATCTCAGTTATCAACAGATCATTTCATATGCTCAGTAAATCAACAGATCCAAAGAGCAACGGGAGAGATGAAGGAGGGGCATGTATGTTTAGGAAGGGGTATGCCACACTTTGGGTAGCAGAACATGTTCAATCACATCCGAGACAGGGGAAATTTAATAAAAAAAAAAATCTCAGGCAAGACACTTTCAATCATGGTTCAGTGCTTTCACACTTTATAGCAAGCTGCTGCAATGTATATGTTTTAGATAGCTCTGAGATGAAAGAAGCCAGGCCTTCATGCCATATCTTGCCCTTGATCCATGCCTGCAACTTCACCGCCATCAATCAAGTCATGAGGGCACAATATGGTCCGTAGTGCAGTGCATAGTGGAGGAAAAAGCACTAGGATTGTGGAAAGCTGGTGCTTACAGGTGAAAAGGAAGGGGCTTCGGGCAAAGCAGCTGGGCAGGGGTGGGGAGCTCTGCAGAGTAGGGCTCCATGATGGCTCCATATAGGCTAATGTGGAGAGAGGCTGGTAGGGGTCAGGCCATAGGAACTAACATGGATGCAGTGGCCAGGAACTCCCATAGAATAGGCGCTGAGAGAACATGGCCACTATTCCAATCCTTTAATGTCAAATCCTGCCCTCAGTTTGGGGAAGGGGCACAATTTCATCCCCTTGCACAGCCACATAAATGCCTGATTACTCTGGCTTCATGCAGCATATGTGAATTTCACCCTCTAGCAGACACCACTACTGAGGCCTGGATTTCTAACTTGAGAATTCACATTGATCCAGCTCTAAAATACAGTATCAAAGACATCAGGCAGGGGAGTTTGGGGGAAGGGGATGATGGTGGGAAAGAGTATTATTGGCTGGTTATTCCTTCCTTTCTAATTATTTACTTATTTAATGGGAATGATGGTGCAGGGGGAAGAAAGCAAAGGACATATTTAAATTTTTCTTGAAGGGTCACTGCCAAGATTTACACCATCCATGTCTCATCTCCCCACCAAGTACCAAAACAAAAGGCCAGATCCTGTGCAGTATCAAGCACCATACCGGAGGTGAGAGTCAAAGGTGTTTAGCCGCCCTCAGGGGAGAGTTAAAAGTGTTTAGCCGCCCTCAGGGGAGAGCTTTTCCAACAGCAGGTTCAAATTTTTGGAAGTGTCTAAATGCCAGTTTCAAAAGAGTTAAGCACTTGGAAGTCTTAGGACTTGTCTACACAGGCAGTTATGCCAGATTAACTATTTCTGATGAACTACCTCTGTGGATACTCTTACTCCAGAATAACAGTGCCTTACTCTGAATCAGCTTGATCTAATAGCTATTCCAGAATAACTCCCTGTGTGAACAAGCCCTTAACACTCCTTGGAAGTGGATTACGCCAATTTGAAACAAGGATTTCTTATTCCAGAATAAGCGAGTCCAACACATGGAGTTATTCAGGAATAGCTATTCCACTTTAAATCCAAATTAACTTTCCTGTGTAGACAAGCCCCTATGCTCCTAAATCACTTTTGAAAATTTTACCCTAGGCCAAGAGAAAATATGAATTCCCCAAAACAATGGCTTTAATACATCATTACCTATATACAACGTAGTCAGGATACTAGTTTTCATGCAGTATCCACATAGGCTTACACCTTTGCCAGCTCTCCCTGATCGCACATGGAAAGTGGATTGATAGAATAAATTCCACATGAACATACACACAATGAGGTCACATGCAATATAGTGCAGAAGCATAGAAATTCCAGACCACCACCACCACCCACCTCCCTCAAAGGGTGTTGTGCTTAAAGTTGCTCATCAGCCAAAGTTTTAAGATTATTGCAGCCCTCTCTTTCCGTTATTAAGGGGGAAAACTGGTCTGCATCCTTTGGGTAGCTGCCATACAGACCCTTGAAACTACACATTTAACTTATAGACTCAAAGGCTCGAATGAACCATCATAATCATAGAATCATAGAATATGAGGAATGGAAGGGACCTCAGGTCATCTAGTCCAGCCCCCTGCTCAAAGCAGGACCAATTCCCAATTAAATCAACCCAGCCAGAGCTTTGTCAAGCCTGACCTTAAAAACCTCTAAAGAAGGAGATTCCACCACCTTCCTAAGTGACCCATTCCAGTGCTTCACCACCCTCCTCATGAAAAAGCTTTTCCTAATATCCAACCTAAACCTCCCACACTGCAAGTTGAGACCATTTTGCCTTGTTCTGTCATCTGCTACCACTGAGAACAGTCTAGATCCATCCTCTTTGGAACCCCCTTTCAGGTAGTTGAAAGCAGCTATCAAATCCCCCCTCACTCTTCTCTTCTGCAGACTAAATAATCTCAGTTCCCTCAGCCTCTCCTCATAAGTCATGTGCTCCAGCCCCCTAATCATTTTTGTTGCCCTCCGCTGGCATGATTTATTCTAGTCTCACCTCCTGCACATTACAGGCCACAGTACCTCGCCCACCCATTCCTGTAATAGAAGCCTAACCTCTGGCTGAGTTACTGAAGTCCTTAAATGATGGTTTAAAGACTTCAAGTTACAGAGAATCCACCATTTACACTAGTTTAAACCTGCAAGTGACCATACCCCATGGTGCAGAGGAAGGCAAAAAAAAAAAAAAAACGCAGGGTCTCTGCCAATCTGACCTGGGGGAAATTTCTTCCCAACGCCAAATATGGTGATCAGTGAGACCCTGAGCATGTGGACAAGACCCACCAGCCAGACACCTGGGAAAGAATTCTCTGTAGTAACTAAGAGCCCTCCTCACCTAGTGTCCAATCACCAGCTGTTGGAGATATTTGCTGCTAACAGTCGCAGATCAGCTACATGCCATTGAAAGCAGTCTCATTATACCATCCCCTCCATAAACTTTTCAAGCCCAGTCTTGAAGCCATTATTAGGGGGATATCTGGTATGCATCCTTTGGGCAGCTGAGATTCAGACCCCTGAAACTATTAATTTAACTTAATTTTTAAAAAAAATCAAATTCTGATCCATTTCCTGCCATTTTCTGCCTAGCGTCCTCTTGAATCTCATTTGAAAAGTTGTGAGGAGAAAAAGTGATCTGGGAATATTTCACCTGTAACTCTCGAAACACATCTATCCTTCAGTACCGCATTTCACAGCAAGCCACACAGAAACATCTTGAGGTTCCTGGCAAGATTTCATTTTTTTTTTAAGCAATGATGTACAAGCAGATGCTTCTCAAAGTGAAGGCTTAAGGTGAAAAGCTCCCTTTGAAGGGTTCTGATACCTGAAGCATTTTGGCTGAAATCCACAGCACACTAACATGTCAAGCTCATGAGCCTGAATTGAATAAATGCGGGAAATGAACTGCATTTCTTAATATGGTAACAGGACCTGATTTTCCTCTAACCTACCGTGTCTTTACACCCGTTGAACTCCACTCACTTTAATGCAATTAATTCTGAAAGACAGAGGAGAATCAGGGCCATTAGCATGGTTGGTTTGGGGATTTTGAAGCTGTGAGAAATCTACAAGAGATGATGTAAAATAAAATGAGCAGATTAATAACTAAATCAATTAAAGTCAAAGGAGAGAAATGGGCCCTCTTACATAATGCTGCTGGGTGGTAACCACCATCTTACCTTCCACACATGCCTTTCCATTAATATTTTCTAATGAGCCAGTCATATCAAGGTCACGCTGAAGGTCCCTTATCTGCCTGTTGAGGTAGCCTTCCTCCTCGGGTATGGCAGGAAGCATACCTAGCAGCTGGTGGTCGTCATATTCTTGGTAAAACCCCTGGGATGACAGAGAGCTGGTGTTGTCTGGACGTTGCTCTAAGGAGCTGGTGCCACTTCTCACTCTTTTCTGCCATTGCAGACACATGTCGGAGCCCCGGGCAGGTGCCTGGGAATCAAGATCATGACTTGTTGATGGAAAGTCACCGTCTTCAGGATGCATGTGTTCAGCATCTTTCGTGTTCTGGCTAAAGCTTCCTTCATCTTCTGAATCTTCAGAGTAGTCCTTGTAACTGCCGTCACTGTCTTCTAAGTCCTGGTTTCCATCTTCCTCTGACTTGTGGTCCACTCTGCTCAAGTTGACCAATGAAGCAGATAAGGAGTCTCCCACCTGCTGGACAGCTTCGTACATCCGTGACATCCAGGAGGAGAGTGGCTGGAGGAAACTCTGAGCATTCTGAGAAGCCATGCTTATACCATGACCCGTATCTGATGATCAGTTGTTCAGTTTTGCCAGCATGCCACACTTACAATTCTGTGAGCTATAGAATAAGCATCATAAGAGATTACCGTAAATCACTTGTCCATCAGCTTCTATGTGTTATCTATCAAAACTATCCAGCCTAGAGAGAAGGAAAGGCAAGAACCCGTCCACCAGCTTAGAGATACCGCCACTAAGCCACCACCAGAAGTCCAAGATTACACAGCAAGGCATGCATTTTGTAGCAGACAGCAAAGAGCTCCAGATAATCCTACAGCAGCGAGATAAAAGCCATTATGACAAAAATTTAAATAGAGACCATTTGAACGCCAGCACTTCTCGTGGTGCTCATACATTACACTATTAGCACCAGAACGATCTATATAAAAATACTCTGGGCTTATATAGCAAATTTAAGCCAAGGTTCTCAAAGCACTTACAAACCTTTATTCCCTTAACACCCCCTTGAGTTAAGTATCATATTATATCCACCTTAAAGATGGGGAAACTGAGGCACAGAAATTCTTTTGTTTGTTTGTTTTTTTAATTGACTTGCCTAAAGGTCACACAGTCAATCATTGTCAGACAGCAGCAGCACTCCCCACTCCCAAAACTATGCTCTAGCCATTCACTACACAAATGTCGGTTCCCGTGGGGGAACACAAGTCAATAGGCTGTATTCATTTCTATGAGAAGGCTTAAAAGGAGCATTTTGACATCAATTGTTGGCAGAGGAAGGGGAAGCTGAGCGTAACCACAATGTTCTTTTGATGTTTAAATGAAACATAACCATTTTCTACACTCAGGCCCTGATTCAGCAAGGCAGTTAAGCATGTCTAACTTTCCGCATTGTCAGCAGTCCCGTTGAATTAAGTGGGACTAGTCAGAGGCTTAATGTTAGGCATGTGCTTACACACCTTGCAGAACCAGAACCTAAGACAGTTTCTGATTTTCTGGAAGTAGTATGTGGAGAGAGATTTAAATATCTCAATTTTTAAAACTAATCTCAATCCAAAACAGGAATGTGTGTCATTTTTTCATCTTCCTAAGGACTGCAGGAAGGCAATGGGCCCTTCTCTGCATGCCTCTGGCACATCTGCTCTTTGTGTGCCTTTGGAAAATCTTTCCACATATTACCAGAAAGATATCAGCAAATTCAGGGGGAGTTCAGAGAAGAGGAACAAAAATTGCCAGAAAGCTAATGGATTTAGGAGGAAAGATTAAGCCACCTGTACTGCTTGGGTCAGTGACAACTACAAGGGGGAAAAAATGTTTACATGAAATCTGGGCCTTACTGATTCCATTGACTTCAAGAGGGCCAGGTTTCACCCCAAAAGAGAGAAGAATTATACAGTGTGCCACAGGGCAATATAGATAGGCATAACTACATTAAGAAAGGGAAATAGAGGGGGACTGTCACTGAGTGTGGGGGAGTCAGGGCCCTGCAGCCCCCACTCCCTGGAATTCACTGTGACTCTCAGCCAGCCAGTAAAACAGAAGGCTTATTAGACAACAGGACCAGAGTCTAAAACAGAGCTAATAGGTACAGAAAACAGGACCCCTCAGTCAGGTCCTTCCTGGGGGGGGTGGGGAGCCCTGACCCAGGTGCTGGGCCTGTTTCACCAGCAAGCTACAAACTGAAACTCCTTCCAGCAGCCTCCTCCAGCCTTTGCCCAGCTTCCCGGGGGCAGACGGTGTCACCTGGCCCCAACCCCCTCCTGGGCTCAGGTTACGAAGGGCAGCCGCCACCCTTTAGGTGCTGGCTGTCCAGTGTCATCCCTCAGTGAAGTCACACCCTTATTTCCCATCTCCATCTAGTATTAATGCAGACAGTAAATGAGTAAAACTCCCCTGCACCATTACCAGGTTAATACTCCCTACTCCGTCACATCCCGGGGGTGAAATCTGGGCCTCACTGACATAACTGACTTCAAGGGGGCCAGGGTTTCACCCCAGAAGAGAGAAGAATTATACATTAAGAAAGGGAAAATAGAAGGGGACCATCAAGAAAACCTCTCAACAGTTATATGCATAAGGCTGCAGAATAGTATCCAAAGGAAACTGACAGGAGCCCCATTTCCTAGGATACATAAAACTAGGGAGAGTCTTTTGTCCAGTTTTTTTTTAGAGAGTAGCTCCCCACTGAATTAGATGTGGATGACTCAGTCGATCTCTTCAATCTGCACCTTCCATGACTGATTATTTTGCCAAATGACGTTCATTTAACTGGCTATGGTTCGTTTTGCAGAAATCTCCAAGACATTTGTCATCATTAGAGCATGCTTAAAAGTATAATCATTATCCTGGTGATAAAAGTGCGGGTGACTAAATCTTTGACAATACGTTTTTAAAAGTTAATGGCGGTCACAAAGCCTTTCCGTACATGCGCAGACACTGATCCAATGCCACTTGGAGTCAACTGGAAGCTTGCCATTGATTTCAGTGGCCTATTAAACCAAGGTCATATTTCCCATGCAATCAATCACGCCCATTCCCTTCACTGTCCCCCCGGCTCCCATCCAGCCACTCTTCCTCATATGATCTATTTGTTTTGACTCTGAATTCAATTCATTTTCCACCGTCTCCAAATGATATGTTTTCAGTGTGCTGCAGATTTTTCTAGTGATGAGTCACTGCACTGTAGACGTTGTTAGGGGACACTGGCAGCATTGACAGCTTGGAAGGAGAGAGATAGGCCTTTCGGGGCTTTTTGGGTCGGGATGATTTGGGTTTGCTCTATCCAGCGATGATTGCTAAGCACAGTAGCTAAACATTGCTTCTAAAATGGAATAGGTGGTTTAAAAATAAAGAGAACAAAACCTTTCTGCATTTTTTTGAGGGGTTACTCACTCATGTCTGTGAGCCAACGACCTCTTGGTGCCCCCTGGCAGAAGGTCAACGTGCGTCACAGCAAGGCCCTTCCAACGCTAAGAATTTTCGTTTTAAATAACTTCACCAATCTCAACTCACATTTTTAAAAACTGAGTTATGGAGGGAGAAAAATTGATGAGAACAATAAGTGAAACGTTGGTGGGAGCAAGTACCACTTATTTTTAACGTGTATATCTCAAAAAAAACCCACCAAAAAACAGCTTATCAGCTTCACTTCAAACATCCCCAACCTTTTCTCCCTCTCGTGAGACGTTTCAGGCTAAATAGCCTGTGTAGTTATTAATTGTTTCCTTTCTTTTAGAAAATCAGATGGGTAAAAGGGTCGATGTTAGGCATATAAGAGAAAGCGCCACAACCATCACTATGAAATCCCTACAATCAATACACTGATTTCTTTATAGATTATATTATGAGCGATGGTAACTGTAAGGAGTGACCTCCTTCAGCTGAGCCTGAGGACTAGCCAGCCCAGCCTCCAGGCAGATAAATGAGCTCAGACAAGTTGCGGCAGGACCACCTGATTGACCTGCCCACCTGATTGGCTGAAGGGAGCCAGCAGACCAGGCCTGTTTTAAGCTCAGCAGCAGGTCCCTGGTGTCTCGATTCTTATGTGCGCAGCTGCAAGTGTTCCTGTGCTTGCCTTGTTCCCAGCCTTGCTCCTGTCCTGTTCCACTATGCTCCAGCCCTGCTTCCTCCTGACTCTGATCCCTGGCTCAACTCTTGGTTCCCAACTCCTGCTCTGACCACTAGGCCTGACTCCCGCTTCAACAACTAGACCTGACCCCCCAGCATCCCAGTCATGACAGTAACTGTCGGATGTACCATCATTCCATTCCTAGGTAGATGACTAGACTGGTTCAGATGTAAATCCGACCGCACCTTAGCTAAGAACTTAGGGTGTGGTGATAGTAAGACCTTGTCCTTGAAAAACATTATAAATGGGGGTTCTGCCATCAAGGTTCCAATCTCTCCAACCCTGTGGGCTGACATGAAAGCTACTAGAAAGGCAGTCTTTATAGATAAGTGAAGCAAGAAGCAGGTCGCCATAGATTCAAACAGAGGTCCCATAAGATATTTAAGTACCAGGTTGAGATCCCAAATCATAGTAGCATCTTTACCCTGTGGATAAAGATTAGCCAGACCCTTAATAGATCTCAAGGACACACGGTGCACAAAAATGGAATACCCATCTCGAGGGAAATGAAAAGCTGATATCGCAGGGTGATGAACCTTTAACAGAGCTAATTGATATACTCAGTTTTTTAAGTCCAGCAGATGGCTAAGAGCGGAGAAGATTCAGGCACAGGATGGTGATGGTGACATCAGTGGTTGAACCTCTTCCATTTCTGAATTTAAGTGCAACCCTTCTGCCTGTCAGAGTTGGCAGCAACAAGGGCCGGGTTCAGTATCTAGGGGTTCCATTCCAATAACACAATGCAAAACCGGCTTGAGCCCCCACCCAGTGACCTGGGACGAATATATGTCACCCCCGCTGGGTGCCTCCAAGAGGCAATACTTCCCCTCTCGCAAGCACAGAGTCTGAGTGTAGCAAAAGCCTTTTAATAACAGAGAAACAATGTGGCATTATGTTGGGGAAACACCACCAACAGAATTCATAACACAACCCATGAGCAAAAAAACCCACCCCAAGCAAATTGGGGCATGCCCTTTCCCTTTGGTTCTTGAGTCCAGCAATCCAAAGTCACCCAAAGTCCCAAAAGTCTCTGTCCCTGGTCAGTGCAGCATCAGAGTTTGAAAGTTTATCTGCAGAGTTTTACCTCCCAACCTGGGTGGAGATGGGGTTAAGGGGCACCTTATGTGGTCCAAAGCCAATTGCCCCACCTCTCCATGGGGCTCCGCTCCGCTCCACCAGCCGTCCTACAAACTGCTCCACTCCACCAGCCGCTCTGCTCTCCCAGCTGTCCCATGAGCCACTCCAGCCATCCCGCAAACTGCTCTGCTCCAAGAGCCACTCTGCTGTGCTCTGCCAGCTGTCCCACAAACTGCTCCGCAATATATCTTCAGGCTCCCCCCTACTTAACACAACACTCAGTGATTTCAGCTCTTAGTAAGTTTAGCTCTTTTGTGATTTCAGCTTGTAGTAGGGGAGCTTCAGTGCTGGTGCACCATTGGTCCAAAGTGAATTCAGCTCAGCAGCCTGTAACTAGA